AAAATAAAAATAAAATATAAATAAAAAAAAATGACACTGAATACAAATGTTGTGTGCACTTTTATTGTCAATTGCAATTTTCAAAATAAAATAAATAAATAAATGATATTGAATAAATTATAGTGTAGCAGCAACAATTGGTACTGAAGTTTTTACTTTCATAATTCTCATCTCATGAATTTCATCCATTGACCAGAGGCCACCCCTAGGGACTAATATTCTCCACTCCCTTAAAATGTGGTTTTCCTGCTTGAGGAAGAGGTTTTGCTAACACCATTCTGCTGATTTAAAAAAAAAAAAATTGGTTAATATTTTTTTGGACCACTTTTTGCTAGTTTACTAATCACATTGAGTGAATTAAATATTTGCTGTGTTGAGCGAAAAAATAATTAAAAAATTACATTGAATACAAATGTGGTGTGCACTTTTATTGTCAATTGCATTTTCAAAAAAAATAAAAAAATTACAAAAAAAAAATAAATAAATGACATTGAATAAATTACAGTGTAGCAGCAACAATTGGTACTGACGTTTTTCACTTTCAAAATTCTCATCTCATGAATCTCATCCATTGAGCAGAGGCCACCCCTAGGGACCAATATTCTCCACTCCCTTAAAATGTGGTTTTCCTGCTTGAGGAAGAGGTTTTGCTAACGCCATTCTGCTGATTAAAAAAAAAAAAAATTGGTTAATATTTTTTGGACCACTTTTTGCTAGTTTACTAATCACATTGAGTGAATTTAAATATTTGCTGTGTTGAGTGAAAAATGGGGATTTGGCAGACTGCATTTTCCATTACCTGCTCATTCCTCTTCAGTTTTAAGTGCCACAGTTTGATTTAATTACAAAAAATTACATTGAATACAAATGTTGTGTGTGCGGTTATTGTCAATTGCATTTTCACAAAAAAAAATAAAAATAGAAAAAAAAATTAAAAAATGACATTAAATAGATTATAGTGTAGCAGCAACAATTGGTATTGAGGATTTCACTTTCATAATTCTCATCTCGTGAATATCGTCTGTTGACCAGAGGCCCCCCCTAGGGACCAATATTCTGCACTCCCTTAAAATGTGGTTTTCCTGCTTGAGGAAGAGGTTTTGCTAACGCCATTCTGCTGATTAAAAAAAAAAATTGGTTAATATTTTTTGGACCACTTTTTACCAGTTTACTAATCACATTGAGTGAATTAAATATTTGCTGTGTTGAGCGAAAAAAAATTATTTAAAAAATTACATTGAATACAAATGTTGTGTGCACTTTTATTGTCAATTGCATTTTCAAAATAAAAAAATAATAAAAAAATGACATTGAATACAAATGCTGGGTGCGCTTTTATTGTCAATTGCATTTTCAAAATAAAAAAATAATAAAAAAATAAATAAATTACATTGAATAAATTATAGTGTAGCAGCAACAATTGGTACTGAAGTTTTCACTTTCATAATTCTCATCTCGTGAATATCGTCTGTTGACCAGAGGCCATCCCTAGGGACCAATATTCTCCACTCCCTTAAAATTTGGATTTCCTGCTTGAGGAAGAGGTTTTGCTAACATCATTCTGCTGATTAAAAAAAAAAATTGGTTAATATTTTTTGGACCACTTTTTGCTAGTTTACTAATCACATTGAGTGAATTAAATATTTGCTGTGTTGAGCGAAAAAAATAATTAAAAAATTACATTGAATACAAATGTTGTGTGCACTTTTATTGTCAATTGCATTTTCACAAAAAATAAATAAATAAATAAAAAAATTACATTGAATACAAATGTTGTGTGCGCTGTTTATTGTCAATTGCATTTTCGCCATAAAAATAAAAATAGAAAAAAAAATAAAAAAATGACATTAAATAGATTATAGTGTAGCAGCAACAATTGGTATGGAGGATCTCACTTTCATAATTCTTATCTCGTGAATATCGTCTGTTGACCAGTGGCCACCCCTAGGGACCAATATTCTGCACTCCCCTTAAAATGTGGTTTTCTTGCTGGAAGAAGAAATTTTGCTAACGCCATTCTGCTGATTTAAAAAAAAAAATGGTTAATATTTTTTGGACCACTTTTTGCTAGTTTACTAATCACATTGAGAGAATTAAATATTTGCTGTGCTGAGTGAAAAATGGGGATTTGGCAGACTGCATTTTCCATTACCTGCTCATTCCTCTTCAGTTTTAAATTAATTACAAAAAATTTAATTGGATACAAATATTGTGGCCACTCTTATTGTCAATTGTATTTTCACAATAAAAATCAAATACAAAAAAAAAAAAAATACATTGAATAGATTTTGTTGTGTAGTTTTGTTTCATTCCTGAGCTCGAGTTGCTACAGTCGGGGTAAGGCTGTTAAGGGGCAGGGTTTTTAGCTAAGCTAATAAAGAAGGGCGGAGCTTGTTAGCGGAGGAGGAGGAGCCAAGGGAGGGAAGGAATTTGAGCCAATAGAAACAGGAGGGCGCAGGAAGAAAACTAAGGTCTCTCCATTTATTAAAAAAAATTTAAACCCACAGCAGTACAATCAGTCTGTATATGCAGTAAAGCGTGTTTGTTACGCACTGTGGAACATAAGGAGTTAATCCTCCCCATTGTGTAAACAGGCTGTTTGATCCAGATTCTCTAATCCTCCCCTTCTTCAATTGTCCCCATCTGTCTGCTCTAGGAGTCACTCTGCACATGCTCAGTTTAGTGTGTATTGATAGGGTTTTTTTTTTTCTTTGTGACGGTGCAGGTGTTCAGCAAAGGGCCAATCAGCACTGTCTTGACAGAGAGGCAGGGGTTATGCAGCAACTCATAGGACAATCAGAGGAGAATGAAAGCCTTTAAGCAGTGCTCTGCTGGACACTGATAAGAAGTTACAAGACATGATATATATTGCTGATGAGAAAAGGGATTTAGCAGTTTGTAATTGCCCTAAAAATATTTGCATTTCCATGTTCTGTGTACTGTGGGAGAGCGAATATGGTGAAATGCGGGGGTGCCGGAGGAGAGAGCGGCTATAGTGAATGCGGGGTATCCGTCGGCGGCAGATGCGGATATGAGTGAAATGACGGGGTCCGAGAGAGAGCCGGATATAGTGATATGCGAGGGTCCGAGCCGGAGAGCGGGATATAGTGGATAATGCGGGGTCCGGGTGAGAGCGAATATAGCGACTGCGGGGTCGGGTGAGAGAGCGGATTTATAGCGAAATGCGGGTCCGGGAGACGTCGTGGGAGAGCGGGAATCTTATAGCGAAATCATGCGTGGGTCCGGGGCTACTGACGAGCAGGTATATAGCGATAATGCGGCCGTCCGGGCGAGTGAGCGGATATAGCGTACATTTGGCTGGGGTCCTGGGGTGAGCGAAAGCGATATAGTGACAATGCGGGTGTCGGGGATGAGCGCGAATATAAGGTGACAGATGCGGGCGGGTCGGGGGAGGAGCGAGATTATAGTGAATGCAGGGTGCCGGGTGGATGAGCGGATATAGTGAATGCAGGGTCCGGGGACGATGAGATGGAGATACGGGGCGAATGCGGTGGTCCCGTGGTTTAGCAAACACTAACTAACTTTAAATACTTTTTATGTAGATGACTTCCATGTACCCGGATATAATTCTCCTCATTCACTTTTTTACCAGTCCTGTGCCAAGACTCCATTAAATTTAGCAAAATAATAATTCCTCTTTTTTATATAGCCCTTTCCTTTTTATTTATTTTTAATTAATTAATTATTTTTTATTTTATTTATTATTTTTTATTTATGTATTTGTTTATTTATTTATTTAATAATGTTGTTACGATTGCACAGGACCTTTTTTTTTTTTTTTTTTTAATGTATTTAATAATTTAGCATTTTTAAATCTGTATATAGTTTATACAAAAAACTTTTCAAATTTTTTTTTTAATCGTCTTATAATATATATTTATTCATTTTTTAATTATAAATTTATAAAAATAAAAAAAAAAGAACACAAAAATAATAAAAACAAAGAAAAAAATATATACTAAAAATACTAATGGTATAGTTATTGAAACCTCGCTTTTTGAATTATATAGAAACTGTATTTAATTACTTTGAAAACAGTGAACTTTTTTTAGATCTGGGGACATGAAATCAGATTTTTTGGGAGTCCAGCGGATTTATGTTACGCCTCAGAATTTACAGAAAAATTTAAAAATACATTCATCATTTATATTTCCTTTCTCAGGAATGTATTACATCTAGAGCAGCCTTTTTTCGAACGTTTTTATTTCAGATGAGCTTGAATATAATTTTCAGGACTTAATACAGGCCATACATGGTTCAAATTTCCGAACGATTTTTTCGTCCCGAAGATTTGAAAACGCGTAGTTAGCTCGGTGGTAATCTGATGGCGCTATCAAATTGATTACGAAAATCGGAATGTCCCCGACCGATACTGTAAAAAATGTCCACCCCATTATAACAGGCAAATTAATGTCTGTTCTGGGTCACAGGTCCCTGTGCATATTCTTTTCAGAAAAGATACGATCGTACGATTGGACCATCTAAACTTGAGTCAAAAATTGGTCGTATTTTTTTCACGAATATTCCAAAATGGCCCGATCACTGAAATGGCGGAGGGAGGTACCATGAAAAATCGGCCTTCCGGTGCAAGTTGACCCACTAACAGAGCGAAAATCGGACCGATTTATTCTGTAGGTCTGATTTTCGGACAAAAAGATCGATCTAAAGTTTTACGACCCATATATGGACCGGACCTTTGAGAACCTGACAGGAAAACCAATTCTTTGGTTGATCGTGGAAAAAAAACGTTCCTTACATTGGTGGTGGAAGGGAATTCTGTGAGACGGTTTGGGCTGATAGAAATGCGCACAGATAAATCTCTGCAGGATAGTGGCAAGATCGTGCGCATTAGAATAGCGTAATGAAGCACAGAAATCACAACAGTGAATATTGGCACCAGATGGGTTTTTACCCCTCGCCTACCCTTACACTACAGGAAACTTTACCCCCCCCCCTAATTCCATAGTCCAGGGGAACACTTTCCCCCCCTTCCAGTCCGGACACCTTTCCCCCCCCTTCCAGCTCCTGACACTTTCCACCCCTTGAAGTAAGTCCGGACACTTTACCACCTTCCAGTCCGGACCACCTTTCCCCCCCCTTTCCAGTCTGGACGAATGTTCACCCCCTTCAAGTCCCAGACACTTTCCCCCTATTCCAGTCCGGGACACTCCTTTCACTCCTTCCAGTACGGACACTTTCACCCCCACCTTTCCAGTCCAGACACTTTTCCCCCTTCAGTTCCGGACACTTTCACCTCCTTCCAGTATCCGGGATCCACTTGATCCCCCCTGTCCAGTCCGTAAGGGACACTTTCCCCCCCTTCCAGTCCTTGGACATTTCACCCCCATCCCATTTTAGTCCAAACAACATGTATTTCAACCGACACTCCCTATTCAGTCCCAAGTACATGACACTTTTCCTCCCCTTAGAAAAATAAACAGTCGCCGGACGCTTTCCCCCCCTTTCCATCCGGACAACTTTCCCCCCCTTATATATCCAGTCCGGACTACTATTTCACCTACTTCCAAGTTAGTCCGAGGATCACTTCCCCCCACCCCCCTTCCAGTACCAGAGACACTTTACCCCCTTCCAGTCCGGATAACTTTCCCCCCTTCCAGGTTCCGAACATAAGTTTCCCACCCTTTCCTGTCCGAACACTAAATTCACTCTTCCTTTGACAGTACGAGACAGACTTTCCCCCCCCCTCCAGTCCAGACCACTTTTCCCCCCTTCCAGTACGACTATTTCATCCCCTATCCAGTCCAGACATTTCCCCCACCCCTCCCCCCTCCCAGTCCGGACAATTTGATATTTCCCCCCTTCCTAGTCCATAACACTTTCATCCCTTGTGATGTTAAGACACTATTCATCCCCTTCCAGTGTCCAGACACTTCCCCACCCCCCCCCTCCCTTCATTGTCGGAAATAATAGATACACTTTCATATTCCCCTTCAGAGTACAGACACTGATTTCTCCCCTGAACTTTAATTCCCCTTCCAGTCCTGGGGACCAATGTTTCCTTACCCCACCCCCTCACAGTACGGACCACTTTCCCATCCCATTCCAGTACGGACACTTTCATCCCCTTTCCAGTCCAGACACTTCCCCCCCCCCTCCAGTCCGGACACTTTCCCCACCTTCAGTCCGGACACTTTCTCCCCCTTCCAGTCCAGACACTTTCACCCGTCCCTCCAGTTGATCCGGACAATTTCACCCCCTTCCCAGTGCCGAACACTTTCACCTCCTTCCATGTTGTCCCGGAAACTTCCCCCCCCTTCCAATACAGTCGACACTTTCCCCCCTTCCAGTCCGGGACACTTTCATCCCCTTCCAGTCCGGACAACTTTCCCCCCCTTCCAGTCCGGGACACTTTCACCTCCTTCCAGGTCCCGGGACCACTTTCACCTCCTTTCCAGTCCGGACACTTCCCCCCCCCCCTTCCAGTCCAGACACTTTTACCCCCTTCCAGTTCCGGACACTTTCCCCCCTGTTCCAGTAGCCGACCTGGGACACTTTCCCCCCATTCCAGTCCGAACACTTTCACATCCTAATTCCATGTTTTCCCGGACACTTTCCCCCCCCCTTTCCAGTCCAGACCTTCTCCCCCCTTCCACGTCCGGACATTTCTATAATCCCCTTCCAGTCCAGGACACTTTCCCCCCCCCTCCATGTCCGGACACTTTCCCCCCTTCCAGTCCGGACACTTTCCTCCCCTTCTTAGTCAGGACACTTTTCATCCCCTTTTCATGTCCAGGACATCCCCCCCTTTTCACCAGACTATTCCCCTTCAGTCCGGACACTTTCCCCCCTATTTTTCCCCAGTCCAAAACTTTACCTCCTTCCAGTCCGGACATTTCCCCCCCCCCCCCCCCTTCCCCCCCCTTCAGTCCAGACACTTTCCCCACTTTCCAGTTCCGGGACACTTTCATCCCTTCAGTTCCGTTGGACACTTTCCCCCCTTCCTTTCCAGGCTTTGAATTTTCAGCTTTCAGTGACTATTCACACTTTGAATGACAACTTGCGGCGGTCATGCAACACTGTAACAATATGGAATTTTTTTTTAGCATTTTTTTGAGAAAGATAAAGTTTTTGCTTTATTTTGGTCTGGTTATTTATTCACCGCTGGTAGATTTATTTTTTTTGCTATGTAAATGTAAAAAGTCCAAAAATTTTGCAAAAAAAAGTGTTTTATCTTATAAAAAGTTCAAATAAATAATATTCATCATAAATCTTGGTTAAATTTAATTCAGTTAACTTTTTAGTAATTAAAAAAATTACCCAAATTAGTTTATATCCCTTAAAAATTTATATATTTTTTTTAAAACATTGTTTACTTTTTTTTTATTTTTTTATTTATTTTATTTATTTATTTATTTTTTATTTTTTTTTTAACATACTGTCACCCTAGCAGTACAGTGTCACCATGGTGACACTGTACTACTTGTGGGGGGTGATAGATGAAGTTTTTTTTTTTTTTTTCACACTGATTGCTTTTACACCCATAAAGGCTGTAAAAGCAATCATTTCTCCTTCTCTCTGGCTGCATTCTTGCAGCCATTGAGAAAATACTGTGTGACCTGTGATTGGTCACAGCTTGTCACATGGTACAAGGCTGTTGTGAATGGCCCTGTACCATGTGATCTCTGTGATCATTCACAGATTTCACACGTAGTAGTAAGCAATGATGTCAGAAGTGACATCTTGCTTACTTCTCTGCATGTGATCAATGATTGGCCAATCAGTGATCACATGATCAGGGGACCTCGCACAGAGGAGGACACAGCGGGCACCGGATCGCGGTGTTTCGCGCTCCCAGGGAGTGTGCACAGCTCGAAAATTGCGGGTGCCGTTTATAAACAGCGGCCCAGACGGGAAGTGGTTAAGATCAGGGGGCGGACTGACAACTCATGGGCCCCCGGGCAATAGGGGATCATGGGGCCCCTGTGTCCTTGCCCAAACTCAAAAAAGCCTATGAAAAAGGTACCAGGGGCATCTTATGGGGCCCCCTACTGACACCCGGGCCCTCGGGCAGTGCCCAAGTTTCCAAATGGTCAGTCCACCCCAGGTTAAGATATATACATTTTGGGGGTTGACACCTCTTTAAATGGACGTTTCTCCACCCTGTTTTTGATCGGATTTCGTTTCCTTGATTTTTCTTGGTGTCATTGGATATGGACATCGAGTATTATGGGCTTCTTCCTCCTATCCATTCAGTATCCAAAAGGGTCTAGTATCTGGCTGCTCATCCGGACTGGAAGGGGGTGAAAGTGTCCGGACTGGAAGGGGATGAAAGTGTCCGGACTGGAAGGGGGGAAAGTGTCCGGACTGGAAGAGGGGTGAAAGGGTCCGGACTGGAAGGGGGGTGAAAGTGTCCGGACTGGAAGAGGGGTGAAAGGGTCCGGACTGGAAGGGGGTGAAAATGTCCGGACTGGAAGGGGGTGAAAGTGTCTGGACTGGAAGGGGGTGAAAGTGTCCGGACTGGAAGGGGGGGAAAGTGTCCGGACTGGAAGGGGGGGGGAAAGTGTCCGGACTGGAAGGGGGGAAAGTAACCGGACTGGAAGAGGGGTGAAAGTGTCCGGACTGGAAGGGGGGGAAAGTGTCCGGACTGGAAGGGGGTTGAAAGTGTCCGGACTGGAAGGGGGGGAAAGTGTCCGGACTGGAAGGGGGTAAAGTGTCCGGGACTGGAAGGGGGTAAAGTGTCCGGACTGGAAGGGGGTAAAGTGTCCGGACTGGAAGGGGGTTAAAGTGTCCGGACTGAAAGGGGGTGAGTGGCTGGTGTGTGAAAGTGTCCGGGACTGAAAGGGGGTGAAAGTGTCCGGACTGGAAGGGGGGGGAAAAAGTGTCGGACTGGAAGGGGGGAAAGTGTCCGGACTGGAAGGGGGTGAAAGTGTCCGGACTGGAAGGGGGGGAAAGTGTCCGGACTGGAAGGGGGTTAAAGTGTCCGGACTGGAAGGGGGTAAAGTGTCCGGACTGGAAGGGGGTAAAGTGTCCGGACTGAAAGGGGGTGAAAGTGTCCGGACTGGAAGGGGGGGGGGGAAAGTGTCCGGACTGGAAGGGGGGGAAAGTGTCTGGACTGGAGGGGGGTGAAAGTGTCCGGACTGGAAGGAGGTGAAAGTGTCCGGACTGGAATGGGGGGGAAGTGTCCGGACTGGAAGGGGGGGTGAAAGTGTCCGGACTGGAAGAGGGGTGAAAGTGTCCGGACTGGAAGGGGGGTGAAAATGTCCGGACTGGAAGGGGGGGAAAGTGTCCGGGACTGGAAGTGTCCGGACTGGAAGGGGGGAAAGTTGTCCGGACTGGAAGGAGTGTCCGGACTGGAATGGGGGGAGAAAAGTGTCCGGACTGGACAAAGGGGGTGAAAGTGTCCGGACTGGAAGGAGGTGAAAGTGTCCCGACTGGAATGGGGGGAAAGTGTCCGGACTGGAAGGGGGGGAAAGTGGAGGAGTTGTCCTTTATCCAGGAGAGGATTTCTACTGAGGATCGTTTGGTATATCACGCTGCGCTTCGCTGACCGGTTCCGTACGGTCAAATTGTCTGGTGAGAGGCCTTTTTTTTTTTCCTCGGGTGCAGGGCGCGATGGTTTTTGGAATCAAAATCTTCTCTTGTGTCCGGCTTCATTTATTGGAAGGCTTATATGGATTTAATTTGACGCTTAGAAGATCATATAATTAGCGCTGCGTTTTTTTTTTTAAATTCAATATTTTGTTGGTCCAAAAAGTTGAGACGCCGCGTTCTCTCAAAAAAAAAAAAGTTTTGGTCTTCTCTGTAATTTGCTGTAACTTCTGGTCTGGTTCCAGAAAGCTCCGTCTTCCTTGAAGCACCTGATTGATGGGCAATTTGTTCCGTATAATGAGCATTCATGCTGAAATCTGCAACCTGGCAACCTGGGCCCGTTTTACTGCCAACCAGTAAATGACCAGCATACGCTCCTTTCATTGTCGAGTCACAGACCCGCTTCATTCCGGCTCATCGCTATTGTCTCTGACACAGACAAATGGCGGCAGGGCGTTAGGGCTGCCATGTTAGACGCTGGCGGGCGGCTCAGAAAGGCTTCACTAAACTGCTGTGTATTATTTTTTTATTCTCTAAAATTTGCTGCAGTAAACTTACAAAAGAAACTTTTTTTTTTTGCTTCATATACACTTTTTTTTTTTTTTTCAATAATCTGTCAGCGAGCTTCTGTTGGTACAATGGAGCCTATGTGTAAAGGAGCAATACTAAAAAAAAAAAAAAAAAAACAAAAAACAACAAATTACTTTATAACCAAAAAAATTATGATTTTTAAAAAAAATGTTTTTACATTTTTTATTTTAAATTTTTTTTATATTAGTATTTATTTATTTATTTTTTTAAATATATCGTCATCCTGGCAGTACAGTGTCACCATAGGGACCAGTGTGTACTACTTGTGGGGGGTGATGAAGATATTTTTTTACAAAAGAAACTTTTTTTTTTTTTTTGCTTCATATACACTTTTTTTTTTTTTCAATAATCTGTCAGCGAGCTTCTGTTGGTACAATGGAGCCTATTTGTAAAGGAGCAATACTACAAAAAAAACAAAAAACAACAACAAATTACATTTATAAACCAAAAATAATGATTTTTAAAAAAAAGTTTTTACATTTTTATTTTATTTTTTTTATATTAGTCTTTACTTTTTTTTAAATATATCGTCATCCTGGCAGTACAGTGTCACCATAGGGACACTGTACTACTTGTGGGGGGGTGATGAAGAATATTTTTTTACAAAAGAAACTTTTACTTTTTTTTTTGCCTTCATATACACTTTTTTTTTTTTTTTTTCTTTTTTCAATAATCTGTCAGCGAGCTTTTGTTGGTACAATGGAGCCTATGTGTAAAGGAGCAATACTAAAAAAAAAAACAAAAACACAAAAAACAAATTACTTTATAACAAAAATTATGATTTTTTAAAAAAAAAGTTTTTACATTTTT